TAGTAAATTGTCGGCTGAGTTTTAATTTGCTTCATTCGCCACAAACACGAATTCGAAAAATTTGAAAAAGAAAAAGTTTGAACCTTATAATTAAAAAAAAAATAAGTTCGAACGATTTTATTTAAATTTTGCATTTTGCTTTACTAATTATTTATGTATAATAATGGAGTAAATTTTTATCTTTGAAAATCTAGGATTTTCGGAGAAATTCAGTTTTTTTGAAGATGTTCATTTTTGCTTCCCCCATACCCAATGAGCTTGTTAATTTCAGTAAAATTATATTGAAATCCTATAACTGTGGAGCAAATTATTTGAGAAATCTGAAGGAAAATTAAGCATTTCGTCATTTGGGGAAGAATAAGCTACAGAAACGAATATAAGAAATACAATTAACCAAAACGACGACTTTCATATATGCGGCTGAATTTCAAAACGGTAAACATAATGATCAGATAAAACGGTAAACATAATAAGCAGGTTTTCTAATATATTTTGAATGCACTTGGAACAAATAAAAGTTTAACCTTTGCATTTCATAAAAGGTATGCTAAATGCAATTTTTGGTAATTTTGCTATGTCTATATGGAACACACTAAAATTTAGAAATCATGCTTTTTTCATGTAAAATGTGTTCCATTAAAAAAATGGTTTATTGAGCAAATAAGCACAAAAAATATGTAAAATGTGGTTTACGGAGCAAAAACGACATCGAATATTTTACAAACCAAGGAAGATAGGAAAAAACGGTTTGCCTCACGTGAAAGAGCACCCGTTAAAACCTGTAAAACCACTCTCAAATCAAATTTTTCAAAAATGCCGTATGAAACAAATTAGAACTTTAGACGACGAAATTTACTTTAAATTTCTTCAATTTGCATCTCAATACACCAACAAGCTCATCTCAATACACCTCATATCAAATGTCAAATGAACAACATACGTAAATTTTTCAGTAACGTTTCAAGCTTCCAAAAAAAGGTTTTTCTTAAATCTTTATACCATTTTAATGTTCATATAATTATGCACTTTTTGTGTTTGTATTAAAACAGAAACAAGAAAACAATATCGTAACTTTTATAACTCAAATGACTTTGGAAATCGTGATTAGAAGGACTTCTTAGGAGTCCTTCTCCAATTTTGAAAAAGAGCTTTAAACATAGGAGTAATTTAATTTAATACGTATATATACTTATGTATACGAGTATATACATATATACATAAAAGACAATTTTCTTATAACAAAACTTGCAAACAATACAAAGATTCAAAATGTATAAAACAAAAATATTAAATAAGAGGATGCTGAAGAGCATAAGTGAATCCGCAAATTCTTTAACGTCAAAATTTTGATTTTAGTCTGCAAACTGTCTGAAACTAAAACTTTTACGGACAGAAATCTAGTAAACTTTTTACCCGTAATTGACTTTGAATTTTGATCATCCGTAAACGTCAAAACAAAAAAAAATTTTTTTTTAGATTTAAAATAATTTTATACTTACATATTAAAAATTAACAATAAAAATATTTTTTATATTATTTTTAACGTAATGATAGTCACTCAACACATCAAATTTATTTACTGAATTACTACGTCAGACTGTCTGCATGTAAAAAAAAAAATCTACAATTTTGACGCTTAATTGACTTTTTTTAAACGTTTAAGAATTTAAACTTTGACTGAGAGTAAAAACGCGGTAGAGTATTCGTAAACTCAGACAACTCAGATTTTGTAAAATTTGACGTTTAAGAATTTACCAAATACTACGGATTACAAGTCGATTCACTTCTTTTATTTATTAAGTATTAGATATTTTTTTCTATTTTAATAAAATTAAAAGAATATTTAAGAATACAGGATAGAGTAAGTTTTAATAGAAAGAGTAAGAAAGAATAAGTTTTAAAAAAAAAATTCGGAAAAAGAAAACTATTTATACAACCATGTCTCAACTTGGATCATGATTAAGAACATTTAAAAATTATTCATTTTTACCTTATTAGCTTTTTAGATTTTGATTAATGAACAGAATTGAATCTATAAATTAAAAACAAAGGTTATAGAAAATGTCCGAGACTAACTGATATTATAAATGTTTGATATTTAATTTTACATGATAAAATAAATGACATGGTATTAATTACATGATAAATGTTTCCAGATGTTATAGATACATATGTATTTTTGCCTCTCCTTTTCGAATCATAAAATCCTCAAAGTTAATCTTTATGGAAAATGATCAATTTTTATAAATTTTTTCCTTATAGTTCGTGTAATAAAATTAATTGAATTGAACTTATTTCGGTGAACTGATTTTGAAGTTGATGAAGTTCTTCTTCTATCATTCTTATATAAAGAAGTACTGGCTCTAAATGTTGCTAAATGACATGTTTTGTTTTTCTTCGAAAGCTTCTTTGGGAAAGTAACTAAAGCCAATCATAGATCCAAAGAGAACTTTATTTAAGCTGTCATTATTATTTTGTCCCAAACAATTTTCTAATTTTTCTTGATTCAAAATATTATTTTTCTTCAAAAATTTCTTAAAAAATTTATTTTAAAGCTTAGAAAGCAAAGTGTTGGCATTATAAAACTTATAAATTATAAGTTCAGTTATTATAAATTTTAAGTTTAGTAATAACTCTCAAATTAGTATTATAATCCATATTCGGTTGGTCGTATCATTTGGGTTGATGGTTTAATTATTGAAATAAGAACATATCATGTCAACTGATGCGACTAACAGAATATGTCGGATTAACAATGGATTACATTATAAAAAGTACTTACTTCCTTCCCTTCTAGCCCAAATAATGGAAATTTATTTTCAATTAAAATTGTTCATTATGAAGCAATCATAATTCTTGGCTCAAAAGTATTGCAAGTTAATTAGAATAAATGAATTTTAATTTTTTTTTTTAAATAATAATTATTATTATATTATTATTTAAAATTGAAAATTATCAATCAAAAGATAATATTATTTTTTATTACTCAAATTTTCTTTGTGAATTTCATATAATTTAAAAACATTTTAATCCTAAATAAGAACTATATTTACTTTATTATTATTATTATTATATATACTTATAATTAATAAAATATAATTATTAATTCATGTAGTACACACATAAATATATTATGTAATGTTTTTTGTTTTTGTTATACACATATGTATTATACTTTCTATATATGTATACAATAATAATACTCTTTCATACAGTAATGTTTTTATTATAATTTATATAATGCAGTTTTTATATTTAATGTAAATTTGTACGTCAAATTTTGTAAATTAAATATATGTTTTTTTTGTTTTGTTCTTTTTTTTTATAATAATTTACCGTGACTTTAAAATTGCAGGAAAACTGTACTACATAATACAAAAAATTCAGAATTTACAAATCATTACAACTGATTTTTGTATATTAATATAATATTAATGCAATTTTGAAGAGCCAGATAAGAGAGATTAACTGAAAATTATTTTTTTTTATTATACGACAAAAATAAACCAAAAAAAAAAAACAAGATTCTTTAATTTACAATTTCAAATAGTTTTAAAAATATTTTAATAAAAAAAAAATTATTTATGCATTTTAAATCAAAAAATCATTAAAAGGAAATGTTATGAAAATATCAACATAACGTATTTACACTTCAATGTATATAAATATTTTTAATTCGCACACATTAAAGAAAAGATACATGTGATTTTAAATGTTCTAACAATTTTAAAACTGTTATATATTTCTCTTTAATTTCTTTATTAATTTAATTAATTTAATTAATTTCTCTTTAATTTCTTTATTAAATTAATCTAATTATTATTATGAATTTGAAAATAATGTTAATAAAAATTTCATTGGAAATAAATTTGTTAATTATGTTGGTCAATAAATCGCAAGACCTAAAATAATAACATTAAAAATATTATTAAACAGTAACAGTCATAAATATCTGATTTTTCTTGCGGTAAATGGAAACTTACCTAAATAGTTCTTGACATATTTACATGTGATTCAAAATCGAAACCTTTTATAGTACAAAAAAAAAAATGGAGACAAATTTTTAAGGGCTATGCTTATTTATTGTATGAAATTATAAAACAATATTTACAGTTATGCAATATAGTTTTTAAAAACATAATTGGAGTTGCACCAGATAGTGCGCGACAATTATGATATAAAGATTTTCTGACTGGCGATTGAAGTAATTATTTCTTTTAAATTATTATACACTTCTTATATAAACTTCTTATTATAAACTTCAATTATTAAATAATATCGAGCATTGAGTCAAAATACATTTATTTAATAAATTTTACACATTATGACAAAAAAAAATACCGTTATATTTTAATAAGACTTGTTAAACTCATATAAATAATTTAATTAAATCATTAGTATATTTTTGGGACAATTCGATTCTTCGAAAAATTTATTTGTAGATGCTAAACTTACTCTTAAGATTAATGCATATGAGCTGTATATCACGGCAGTAAGACTAGTGGACGATCAAATTAAATTTATAGATCCAGGGTGAAATGCTTTTATAGCAGAAAAAACTGTGAAAATATGGAACTAAGACACATTCGAATATATTGCCCTCTGGTTAATATGAAAATAAATATTTAGGCTTACGTAATAAAATTTTGCTAAAATTAAAGTTGTATTGAATAACAATAAAGGTAATTCTCCAATAATATTAAATTTATTATATGATGCCATGATTTTATGCCATATACTTATGTGGCGCAAAAGCATGGCACCAAATCCCTTAAACTTTTTATAGTCAAGACTGAAAAAATAGTTTATTTTTAGTAACGCTTAGCTTAGACATGTTCATATACATATATAAATGCAAATATTAATAAATATTTCAAGCAGTTACCAATTATTTACAAAGATCAAGAAATATTCAAAATACCACGTAACAGCATAATAGAAGCAAAATTAACTCAAGTTTCGTGTAACTCAATTATGCTTGTGGTATATATTATATGAGAGAAGTTACCGACAGTCTTGATGCTTAAACTTGATGATTTTTGGAGTTACATGAAAGCTTCAGGATTTTGGATCACTTATTTTATAGGACTGTTGTTTTGGTAGAAAGCAAACTATATGTAAAACCATGACCAAGAGTATAAAGTCTATATTAATTACTAGCAAGGTTGCTAGTTTATATATTTTCACTTTCATTTGAGTTGTTAATTACTTCATCAGATTTTTTACATAATGAACGGTACATAAAAAATATATAACTGAGAAAAACCGATTACTATTACAAGTGAGGAGTTGAACACTCAACCAGATTGTATCATTAAACGGAATAATACTGATATTGACCCATTAAATTTAACATAGAGAAAAGAAAAAAAATTGAAGTAGTTAGGAGGTTTCGTGATGTTTTTAAAAATTTATCAAAATTATTGTAATTGGAATTTCCCATTAAAAATTTGATTGTTATAAAAAAATGTTCACCATCCGGGTCTTATCAATATTTTTTGGTTAGATCAAAGAAATTATTTCCTACTGTTGGAGTGATTTTCAAAAATCTTTCAGTTAATAAAAATAATTTAAATGTAAACTGTCCGATACATAAAATTTTTACATGTATATACACACTAAACGTCCAAATAAATTAATAAGATCTCAACGCAACACACAAAAAAAAAAATTGGTTTTTTTGTTACTTAAGTCCAAAAACAATTTTTACCAAAAATTTCAATTTTAAATTTAACCTTAACAAATAATAATAAAAAAAATATTTAATGTTGTCTGATTTTATAAATTAAATCCAATAATTTTGAAAAGTAATTAAGCAAATTAATTCCAATCCGTACATAAAGATTTTTTTTTTGTACAAAAGAAAATTTAGTTTGAGAGCAAATTCATAATAATAATAAAGAAAATTCATGAAGCTTTGTGAGTGACTTATATATATATATATATATGTATAAGCTAAAATCTAAAAATTTATTTAATAAGGATGATTCAGGTAATATAAATTTTTAATTAAATGATAAAAGGATATTTTGATTTTTACTACTTCTCTTTGTCATCATCTTCTCTATATGGTCGTACTATATTGTAATTGGAATGTGTTGGGTTACTACTACTGGTATTACTATTATGATTTGCATTCATAAAATATCTATTAAAAGCTGGGTTTGGCGGTGTTGCTAATGGATCCACAGAACTATTTTGTCTGAAAAGAGGAATAATTAAATTTCAGTTTCGTAGAAACATAATTTGATATACTTTTGTCTAGAATGAAAATTTTAAATTAAATCATATTAGAATATTTTTTATTAGTATATTTATAAAATAACTTTAATTTAATTTGACAATAATTATTTTCTTCATAAATTCAAAACATTACTTAAAACATTTATTATAGTAATTAACATAATATTTTTAAACAAAAAAAAAAAACTTATTTACTGCAGCTAGATAAAAAATTAATCTTGTAATTTTCATAAAATATTTTTAAAAGAAGGATGTTTACCTATTTAAAGCAAGTGGATTTATTTGTAAATTCGCTGAATTTCCATCTGTTGATTCAAGTGGATTTTCTGGCAAGGGACAAAATGGTATTGTTGTTGATGTTATGCTACTTCCTATAAAAATTTAATTTTTTATTTACAATATTTTTTTTATTATTTTTAGAGTTATATTTTATTTTAATATTAAATGACCAGAATTTGATCCGCTATTATCACTAGGTACGTTAACTGGACTAGATGGAGGTGATGGTGAGTCTAATGATATAATTGTTGTTTCATCTGAAATAAAAAAAATAAACACATCTCTAATTACATACTTTTATATTTTTTATAAAAATAAAGAAATATGAAAAAAACTTATAGTTAATTTATTTCAATAATCTCAATTTTAATGCCTAATATTCAATTAATTCAATTTTTTAGTTAAATTTTGAGTAAGATTGAATGCAGTACAAGTAAAACAAGAGATGTTTTTTTTTGATTAGTATTCAGTAAGTTTTTGATAACATTAGAAATGATATTGTGAAAGTTTTTTTGCAGTCACGGTCATTTGAAAAATTTTTGCTTAAAGATTTTGCTTAACTTGAAATGATTGTGTGACATGGGGACTCTATATCATTCAAACAGGCGTTTAAAACTGTTAACTCGAATTTTAAAATATTTTTTCACATAATTACAAACTTAAAAATCTAAATATTTATATATATACTACACTTTTGCAAATTCGTAATTTCTGTGATTTTTTTAACATAAAATATTTTCGCAATATTTATTTCTTAAAAAAAAATAATTTCTGCTTTAAAAATACTTTAGAGTTTTAAGTACAACTGCAATATTCAAGCATCCTTGTTTAGTAGCAGAGATATATGAGCCGGAAATGCTATTTTTCTGGATTTTGTGGTTGTTATTTATCGAATTTTTAATAATAAATTTAGGCATAAAAATAATTTTAAATGAATAGGTTTCTAAAATATTTTTGAATTTTTTCAGTTTTCATTATAAATTTCTTGAGTTCCATATTGGAAAAAAAATTTTCACTGCAAATATTTTAGTTCCATACGCTACATCACATAGGTATGTGGAATCTCCATATTTTTAGTTTTAGTGCAAATATTTAAGTTTTATTGGGTATGTATCAAAAGTAAAATATGTATCTAATGCTAAGGGTTCGCTGGAGTAGTACTTATGATTTTTGTATTACAACCGCGAAATGAAAATTTTTATCAGGCTTCAAATTGAGTTTTAATTCTCAATTTTTAGTCAATTTCAGGAATATTTATATATGTAACGTTTGTTCTTAATGTATGCCTTATAGAATGACGATTTCTTTAAGGAAGCGTAAATTAAAATTTTTAAATTTTTGATTTCTTGTCTTACATGATTTGACTACACATACAATTTTTGTATTGAGAGTTTAATCCTACACTTTGGGGACAACAGAACTTTTGGTTTTTTGTTATTTGTGCTGCGTTATTTGTTTCTTTTTATTGAAAGAATAATTCTTCTGTTTGGAGCCCTTATATTTCTCATATTTTTTTATATCTTAATATTTAATTTAATATATAATTAAATATAAAGTTAAAAAAGCAATATATTTACGAAAATTTAAAACAAACAGTAGTTAAAGCTTTTTTTCCAATTTTGTATAAATGCTGAAAAACCTGCTGAGTTTTGAAATATTTTCTAGCAATAATGTGAAGTAAAACAATTGCATAATATAATTTATTAGTTTTTATAAACCATCACGATTGAAATAAAAAATTTGTATAAAATTAATACCAAATTTTAAAAATTATCAAAACTTTATGATGATTAACAGGAAATTTAAATTAAATAGAAACTGTTCGTAGTAATTTACAATCGAAACATACTTCCTGGTGTTTTTAATAATGTCTTTTAGTTTTTAATAGTCGGTCGAACTTAAAACTTGAGCTAAGATGTTTAACAGTAAAGATGTGTCCCCGCGTAAGGAAAAATTTGTTGAAAAAAAATCACACAGCAGTAAAGTTTAAATTGAAAAAATTGAAAAAAAAAAATACATATTTTGTATGTTTTGGATCACTATTCCCGGTAAACGTATATTGCATATAAATTCTGAAATTTAAAAAATTATTTTCTGTAAAAAAATCACATTTTAAAATGATAAGCTGTTCGATTTAAATTGTCAGTACATGTATATTAATGTTATAACAGTTTAAGTAAAGTATACTCAAATTTTTATATACACCGTTTGCTTTATACTGCTTTTTTTGGCATTTGTTAAACATTTTGGATCAGTTGACGCTATAAAAATTTCTTAGTTTACAAAAAAACTGATTTGGGAATTTAAGAAAATTATGAAGCTTAATTTATCTTTGTTTATTTCAACGAGAATTAATAGTAATATTTTGAAAATGTATGAAGAAAAATCTAGTCTTTATTAATTTAGTTGATATTAAGTTCAAAATCAATCAATTTATTCAAACTAAAATTCAATTAGTTTTATTCGCAAATACGACTCAATACTTTCAGACATATATTTCCCATTAATTTCCCTTTTCCTTTTCATTTATTATGAAACTTTTCAGTTCATATTACAGGGGGTCTTCTCTTCTAGAAAACCTGAACATTTAATGTTTTTTTTTAAAAAAAAAAAGGAGTGATGAAATTAAATGGTTTCTTAACAACTATTATACTCAATTAAAATCACATATATCAAACAGCAATAAAGAAAAATATTCAATTAACATTAATGCTTACAATTTTAAATAATTGAATAACAAGTTAAGTTAAAAAAATAATCGCTTTTCGAGTTATTTACAAACAAAATAAATAAAAACTAAACAATAAAAAAGAAACGAAAGAAAAATTTAACTATTATTTAATTTCAAAATTTATTTTGTGTCAAAACTGTTAAGAAACCATTTCCATTTATTTGAATTTGTATTGAATTTTATAAAATTAAAACACCATTTAAAATTTTCATTTGATACGTTATTTTTTTTTCTAAATTTAATATTTTATTGTTACTTTTAATTTTTTTACATTTAAAATTTACGTATAAATATTAATATATACACATATGCATATATATATTATATATATAATTTTTTATATTTTTTTTTGTTAAAGATAATGCAATTTTTCTAGGTTTTATTTTATTTGTTTCTTTAAAAAAAATTATAATTATTAAATATATTCATATGTAATTTTCATTTTTTTTTTTCAAAAATAATATTAAAATAAAATAAGTGATCGTTTTAACAAGAAATGATTTCTTTACAGTCAAAAACCAAAAAAAAAATTTAAATTTAATTATACACAGTTTAGGATAATTATAATATTTTAATTTGAAAAATGATATGAAATCAAAAACAATGCTAATATAAGTATTTATTCAAAAAAAAAAAATTGTAACCTATCTAATACAAGTTCTTATAATAACTATGAATTCATAATGTTATAATTCTATTTTAAATAATTTACATTCAAATATTTTTTGTTCTGTTGAATAAGGATTTAATTTTAATTTTTTTTTCTTTTATATTTTTTGATTTACATGAATAGCCAATTTAAAAAAATTAAGAATTTCAAAAAATATAAGTTTAAACACAAGAAAATTATTTCATTAAATTAATGAGAACAAAGAAAAATTTGTTAAAATGTTACAGACAGAAAATTTCATTTTAAAATTCATAAATAAAAATTATTAAGAATATAGACTTGAATTAGCATCTATTAGCAAATTACGATTCTGTGATTTGCCAAATTCATTGACATATACCGGAAAAAAAAAATTAATATTAATTGAATCACACAAATCATTTAGAAACAAAATCCATATAAGTAGTTAAAATATGAAGTTTACAAATATTATAATCATCATGAAAATCCACTTACTTACAACTAAAATAATAAGTAATATGGAAAAGGAACTTGATATCAATCTTATACATAATTGAAATTTTCTTTTATTTCCTTATTTTTCTTTATATTTATTTGCATAAAATGCATTAATTATTTTTTAATTAATTTATGTATGTATGTATTTATTTTTTGAGTTTTTTTTTCCTTATTGGCATTATGAAATATATTTCGCTAAAAAAAAAGAAATAGAAAATATTGTTTTAAAATACAATTTCCGTCACTATCTTTACTTTTCTATGTGTAAAATTACTGCAGAATCATATAATACAATATTATAGATATATCTAATACAGATAGCATATTATAACTGTAATATTCATACATATTTATGTATGTTTAACAATGTATTAATTATATATTACATTTTATATTAAAATAATATATATAAATAAATATATATTACCTCATAAATTTAAAAAAAAAAAATGGCAAATGTGAATTTTTTAACTGAGTATATCCCATTAATGTGGCCAAAATTAATTAAAAATATCATATTTATTTTTGTTGCTAAAACAATATGATGAAAAGCTTTTAGTGTGCAAAAATGATGCAATATGCATTTTTTTTTTTGGAATATAATTTTACACATTCACATTTTTTTTCATCTATGGATGACGACATATTTATAGACGACATAATTATCCTGATAGATTAATCTATATATAGAACGATCGTATAGAATTGTATTATCAATTATACAGCAATACATATGTATTAAAATTAACGCAGTGAAACTAGTAAGCAAAATAGTCATCGCTTAACGTTAAGTGTTCTTTAAAAATATTCAGAATTTGTTTTTCTCTTATACATATTATGTATAAAACATTACTACAAGACAATTTTACATTCCCCAATTCAATGTTAACCCTATAATTTTTTTTAGTATTCCTAGAATAAAAAAAATTTGAAGTACATATTTTTGTTATTTTGATTTTACAAAGAAATTTTCTAACATGTTATTCAAATATAAAATTTATGAATTTTTACTTTATTATTACAAACAAAACTATGGTTAGGAGTTTTTTTATCTGATTTTTTCTCCTTGCTCGAAAATCTATCAAATTTTTAAGATAATGGCTACAATATAATATATGTATGTATGTATAAAAATATTTAACTTTTCAAAAAACAAAAATTTAAGTTTATTCTTTTGAACTTACATACCTGTACATTACATGTATGTGTAAATATTCATATTTATATTTATATATACATAAATAATATATAGTTATGTAACATATAATACAAATATATATATAAAGATATATGTATAATATGTGTATGTTTTTTAATTAAATTATTAAAATCATATTGCTTGTAAATTTATTCGATATATCATCTATACATTTATGTATATTATATTATTATAATACAAATTTATATACTATATTATGATAGTAACACTAATTTATGATTTATTACAAAAAATATAAATAAAATAATTAATTAATCTTTAGAGATTTCCATCCATAAAACTTGGTCATTTATACCAGACTCTTCAGTGCTATCATCATCTTTAGTTATGTAGATAATGGAATATATTTTTTTAAATTACAAAAATTAAAAATTTAAAAAACAAATATTTATATTTTTTCTTCAAAAATTTACATTTGGAATTCTTTTATAGCGTTAAAATGATCTTATGATACGAAAAAAAAAAATTAAAAATAAATTAACATAATAAAATTAATGAAAAAAAAATTTGTATTTGTTAGAATACATGTCGAACTTTAAAGCAAAAATGTCATTTTCAAATAAAAAATAAATCAAATTAATTTTTTAATTAAAATTACAAGTTATAAGGACTAAAACTTAATTATATAAAAACAATCGCTTGCTTATTTTAGCAAATCCTTCGAAATTTTTTTGTGAATATAAATGCGCTTGATTAAAAAGAAAACAAAGCCGTGCAACTAAAAATTCAAGAATAAAATTTTATTTGCACTTACTAAAAATTTACTAAGGGAATTTGATTTAACATTGATAAATAAGTCTAAAAATTTTATCTTGATACATCAAAAATTTTTATTATTAGTTTTGTTCCAATCTTTTACATATTTCAAAATAAAATATAACAATTTGATTCGAGTTGTCTAACATTTAAAGCATTTTTATCTGGTTAAAATACGAAATACATGCATTTTCAATTTCATCTTTGCCACTGAAACATAATTATTACGTAATGAGATGGTATTAATCTAGATTAATTATTATATTTTTCAACGTAGTAAATTAATTGGCAGATTTAACACATAGCAGACCAGTACTAATACAGTATAGTTATTTTTAAAAAAAAGTTTTAAATCCATGTAATTAATTTTATATTTACATAATTTGTATATTTAAAAACTTTACTAGAACTAAATTTTTTTTTAAAAATACATTATTGGTACACTAAGTTGGTACATTGTCAAAATTTATTAATACTTTTAAGTATGGGTACTTAAATTACTTAAACATGAAATATAAAATATATAAGATTCTGATTTTTTAATGACTTTAAAATGGAAACGTGTAAGAAAATATTAAAGAAAATTTTAACATGAAATATAAATAACCACACATAAGAACAAATAATTTACATCAAAATAAATATTTTGAAATTATTAAACAAAAAATTCATAATCAAAGAATATTTAAAAAAAACTATTATAAATTCTTAAAACCATAAATTATCTGTTAATATATGTAAGTATACAAAAATCTTTCAGAAAAATTAATATTTTTTTGTTTCTCAATTAATTTCTATTAAAATGACTTGGATCGCTTAAATTAAAAAAATAATATTATTTAAACATCTTATTTCAAAAAAAAAAAAACGGAAACACTTTTAACATATTAAAAAAAGCGAAATCATATATTCTTAAAAATTAAGATGTTTCTAAATAGCAAGCAAATAATTTTAGATGATTTTCTTCTTATGATATTCAAACATATCACTGATTTTAGTTTGTGCCCATCTTTGTCCATTTTCTTAATTTAAGAAATGTGAATCTTATAACATGTATTGATAATATTTATATTAATTTATCAATAAAATTTATAGCATATATAAAAAATATTTTCAAAGTTTAGTATTTTGAAATATAAATATTTTTTTCGGTCAATGAAATATGTACATAAATTAAAACTTTACGCATATATAATGCATGTAATCGTTATCGTTCACGCAAAAATTTATTAGCCACTGCATTTCTATTGTCAAAAATAATAAGTTTAGGGCACTTAATAATTCAAATTTCGCAACTAGTTAAACTGCATCTAACAACTCCTAATTTTATACAAGATTGAAAATTATTATCTGCTAATTGTAAAACCATACGTATATTTATTGTACTATAAATGTTTTCCTCGTTTAGTTTACTTCAGAAAAAAATTTTATGCGACTTTGCAAAAACTAGTGTCATTAAACTTTCCGTCCCGCTATTAAAAAAATTTAATAACGAATAAGTACAGAGGTTTCAATTTTTGTAATATTCAAAAATCATAAAATCTTATAAATTTTTTCTATTCCCTGATTTCTTAGCGAAACAAAACAAGAAATTTAGCTCGTAAATTTCAAAAAGGCACAGCAAATTAAAAAAGGAAAATAGATACATATAAGATTTCTTAAAAGAGTATTTTTATATATGTATATGCAACTAAAAATATTGATTCAAGTGTAATACATAAAAAATGACGGATCTTTTTTTTTCATATTTTTTCAAATAAAATGTTTGTAATAAAAATCTGTCATGAAATTACCACAAATAAAATAATAAAATTTAATGAAATAATAGAACTAAAAGAAACGTGTTTTGAAGTAAATACTTTTAAAAAATATTTCACAATTTATATGAATGCGAAAAATCCAACGTACCATTTTTTGATTTTTGTGGTGCCGTTTTAGCTTGATTAACGGTTCCATTAGATGTTGAATTCGTTTTACCATTATTTGCCGAGGGTGCCGCTATCCGTTTCAAAGGTAAATCATCGTCTGAATCACTTAGAGTTAAATCAACCTAAAAATATTAAAGAAGTCAGTTTTTCCGAATACATTTTTATTAAAATTTTTAGTTGTTATACTGTATCATTATTTGTTGTTGATGTTGGTTCATTTGTATTTGAATTATTATTTGAATTGGAAGTTACAGTTGGAGTCACTGTTGCAATAGGAATTGTTACAGGAGCAATCGATTTAGGCTTAACTTCAGGTTCAGTCGTTATAAGTTCTAATCATGTAATAAAATAAATCATTTTAATATATTAACGGTTCCAAACGATTTTTTGTTTATACTGACCTAAATCGTCGGATATAACCTCTACTTTTTGAACTGATTTACTAGATGTGTCTAAAATTTGAGCTTCATTTTTCATGACATGAGTACTCCACGAACCATCTTTATGTAACTGAATTTCTGTGTCATCTGAACCCAACAACGCAGATGCTAAAACTTCTTGAAAATATCTACAATAATCAATTAAAGGGGTTACCAACAAGCAAAAAAATTATTTTATAGTCTTTTACCCATCAATTACTAAGCTTTCATATAAAGCAGGTTTATCACAGACTGGACAATTCCAAGTTGGTTTTCTTTCATTCATTTGCAAAAATAATGACGCATCAAAACATTGTAAATGAGAACACGTAGACGCTCGACATGGTATGGACATTTTCATTTTCCCCAAAGGACATATTAATGATACTTTTAGCATAGTAGTTGCTATTTCACAATCAGCATCCTCGGTTAGCTTTTCTTTGACTAAAAAAAAACATATTTCAGTATAAAATTTTAATATACATATATGTATGTATATTCATATGTATATATATTGAATACTTACTTAATGCTCTAGTAAAATCTGCTGGTTTGATACCTTTCGTCTTCATACGGTGTAATAATTGAGCCGATGTAAGTTTTCTTACCAAATATGCTGAAAACACGTAGCCTCTTGAAAAATCTGGACACCATTGAACCGTTACATTATTTGTTACTGTTGGAGACAGTTTAACATTTGATGTGACATTAACCGGGCGTGGCGGTCGTTTTGGTTCTACATTTGGTCTATTCGTTGGTATTGGATTCTAATTTGAATAAAAAAACAAGATTATAGAAATCTTAAATTGATATTAACAAATTTAAAATTAAAATACTTACAGGTAATTGACACATCTTATTATTTACTTTCACGATTATATTAGGTGGGAAGCAATCCTCTTGTTCACACGACGTTTCTAATAAGCAAAATCGTAGCTGAACTTGAATCGTGTGTTCAATTTTCGAGCCATTACGTATATCTCGATTTGAAGCAATTTCTGTAGCCTGTTGTGGTGTTAATGTAAAATAAAACGTGGCTTCTTGTAATCGTTGAGAATTTTGTGGCAATAATGTTGATGGTTGAATTAATGTGGCCAAAATATCATAAAATGCTAGCTTTTTGAGTCTGACATCTGGATGAATTGGATAGTTATTCGGTGCCATATTACCATGAAAAGGTACAACAATATTTCCACCAACCAATTGGGCGGCTGGTTGCATTGGATGTTGCAATTGTGGCGGTTGATACATTCTTTTTTCTGGTGGTGGTCCTAAGTCTGGTAAAGTTTGTTGAGAAATTACTGGAGGTGGCAAAGGTTGACTATCTGGACCACAAGATTTATATATTTCTCGAATTTGTGGTGCAATCGTATTAAAATTTTGTGCTAGAGCATCAACTAAACGTTGTTGCAATTTATCCTTTCTGCCGTAATGATTTAAATTTAATTGTAATAGTAAACGTTGCAGTTCATAAACGCGAAAAAATTGGATCATATTCTGAAAAAAAAAAGCGTAATAATCAAGATTTCTTTTCAAAAAAGAAAATTTATTTTAAGTTGAATCACATGTGAAAAAAATAATAACAAAAGCAATATAAAATTGAAATTTACTCATTTTTGTTAATACATGACTTTAATACATGATTTTATTTTCTGTTGACATTTTCTGAATTTTTTATCCTTTTTAAAAATGATGTGCAAATCAGGAGTAACAACTAAATTCATGTCACATAAATATTTTAATAACTTTTTATAAAAACTAAACCAAAATTAAATAGGTTAAATAGACGTCACAAAATTTATGAAAATTAATAAATTAATTTTTTAAAAATTTAAAAACAGTAGAAGGCAAAAGTTAAATCACGTAGGCTGCATCAATATAAAAGTTAAAAAAAGGAAATACTAAGACCCGTCAAAAAACAAAACTCTATTATATATACTATATCGTTTAGAGACAAACCTAATCCCCAGTTGTGCCGTTTTACATACATATTATGTGTTCCGCAAACAGTGCGAAATTAAAATATTTTACAAGGTGAAAAATTACGTATGGTCAAGAATAAAAGATTTTATAGAAAAACAAATAATTTTAATTTATTTCAGTTTCATATTGCAGGTTTTTTTTCCATTAATTATCAAAAACAAAAAACCAGCTTTAATAGTTTCTGAACTATGTTCAAACTGCTTATAAAATTGTATGGCAGCTACCACAAGGAGTCAAGAAATTTCAACGATTTTTATCACACATAGCACCTCTAATAACACACTTGTTTTTACGACTTTTCGATATCATAACTCCAATAGCTCATGACAACTCAACAACTTTTAATGAATATAGCTGTTATTTTACCATATTTGTTTTCAAATATGGTAAAATTTCAGTACTGCATGTGGAAAAGTTTCTAAGATGTAGCCAAATTACTTTTCAAGTTGTAAGGCAGCCACCCGAACCAGTAACTTGATCATATCCAATTTAAACAGGGTTCTGGCATTTACTTTAATAAAACATTTCCGAACATTTGATGAACATAACTTAATTAGTTTTTTAGTTATCAATGGGATGGAAGGACAGACAGACAAGCGTGGTTAAATTGAATCAGAATTCGAGTACCAAGACAAATTCTTGAGTCTATATCTCAGATCATTATTTCTTAACGTTACAGGAGCTTTAAGAAATTGCGGGAAATTGTAAGATAACAGGGTATGGTTGTAGTAAGTAGTACTGTGGTTATAATTGCCATATAAATTACTGCAGCAATATTACAGTAAAATAAAAAATTTATAACCATGCAGTAATATGTATTTTAAAAAAATTTCAATTATATTATACCATAAAACAGATTTGCAGCGTCTTCTCACAAATATTGCTAAAGCTTTTAATAAAGTGTGACCTTTTTAATATTACCATATTTTAAAACCATATTACAAAGAAAGACTTCTTGAAGACAAGGAAAAACCAGAAAATAACTAAATGTAAAAAGCAAATCCTAGGTTTTAGAAAGAAAATCAAAACAAACGCTCAAAGAAAAATTAACCGAAAAAAAAAAACAAATATTTAATAATTTGAAATGAGCCAATACGTATATGTACTTAAGGATCTGATCTAGAAACAGTTGCAATTGAAATTATTAAAAATGCGATATAAAAAAGAAATAAAAAAATGAACACGTGCTTTAAGCGAAGAAGGCAGAATCCTTAACTTATGTAGTATTTAAGTAGAAAATTATCAAGAAAATCAATCAACCAAATGTAACCCGAGTTCCATAACGCTGTAATATCATCCAATTAATAATTGTGAAATAAAAACTATAAGTACCATAAAGACACAAATTATAATTTTCTTTGATCTTTTTTGTTATAATTAATATACACATTACTTTTAAGTATAGAACATATGCATATCACATATTTGCTTTTGAAAAACGTAAAGAAATAAATATATACATACATATATATCTACTTATTTTAATAAAAAATTGTTATAAAAAATTACACATACATATTTTGTAAAAGAATGAAAGAGTTTACCCTTCCCATTTTTAATATTTTTCGTTTTTCTTAGTCAATTTGAATTTGGGCTTCAAGTATTAGGACAATTTATTATTAAATTAAAATAACAAGGATAATTCATAACTAAATGGAAATCAAACTGCGAAATTAATTATAAATATAGGTTTTTCTATTATTACATTTGTATAAGCTTAATATCAAACTTATTGGCTACAAATTAAACTTTTTAAGTGGGAAAGGAAAAAACTTCTTCATTCTTTTATTGATCAATCATATTACTTTAGGCATCCTATATGCATAACATATTCATTTTGGGAACAGTATGCTAAAAATTAAATATTTATTATAAAATAAAAACTTCAATGGTTTTAAAGCTTTTGACATAATTCATGTATAAAATTTGTAAAAATTTTTACTTTAAGAACAAGGTTTTCCGAATATTCTCGTTATATTATTTTTCGTAAAATTACTAAAATTTTATACTTTAAGTAAAATGCTGACAGGTTGCCTAATTTTTTATTGATTGAGATTTTTATTTCTACGTGCTTGATACTCTTCCAATTTATTCGGTGCATCACAATCCCAAGAAGTTTGAACTTTCTTTTCAATTTCACTTGCACGTAATTTCACCAACTTTTTCCGTGCTCTAAAAGATCGATGAGCAGCAGCATCGGCTTCTCTACGGGCTTTCGATTGTTCTTCACTTTCTTGCGCTCTGCGTTCCCGATGAGCAGCTGCATCTGCAGTACGAATTTGCGAAAGTCGTTCTTGGGATTGTTTCGCTAACCATCTAGCTTTTCGTTCCTTCGCCATTTCACGTTTTCTCAAAATTTCAAAAGCTTTTTTCTCACTCATTATTAAGATGTAGTGGAACAATGTCTACAAAAGACTTATCAGTTATGGACATGTTTTTTCCTAATATAGAACTAGGCGAAACCTTGGATTTTTTTGTTTGGTAACTACTGAAAATATAGGTTGGGTAAAGAATACGTTATGTAAAGTCTTTAAGTAATATAAAATCTTTAAGTAAAACTTAAAGATTTTATTAGTTATTGAAATGATGCCGAAAATATTTAAAACTTTACTTTTAATCTTCTTTCGCGTCTGTGTATGTATGTATGTATGTGCCGCTTCAATTTTATAATTAATTCATACAGCAGCTAATAGATATTATTTAATATAAAAGTTTTAGTTTTTCTACATATTGTATTATTTTAATTAAAACGAATCAATTTTTTCGCTTTGATCATATTTTAAAAATCTTCGGATTAACTACCGATTCTTCGTAAGATATATTACAAAAATTGCAGTATAAATTCTCCAAAATTCTATTTTATCTTCAAATTCCATACAATAATTGATATTTAGAACTAAATAACATTGAGTGAAAATTGTGAATTATGAATTAATAAACAATGCGGCGCATATTCGTTTGTTTATGTCACACGCGCTTGTTTTAAGAACAAATTTGAAAAACAAAAATAATTGTGTTATTTTTAATTCTGTGGTTTATTTAAATTAAAGTATATTTCTGGTAACACTTAAGGAGGATACACTATATGCCTTTATTTATTGGTTATTAATACTTTTATAATTATATATAATTTTATTTACATTTATGAATATAATATAAAAAAGCAGCGTAAATATTTTTGATTTACACTCCGCTTTAACAATTAAAACATATTTTTACAACATAAAACGACATGATGTTCCGAAATTGTTGCATTCTTAAACATGATAATCAAATATTAAGTTTTAACTTCAACTTTAAGTCATGGATAATTTTCTTTTATTTTGTTACATTTAGGTAGTATGTAAATATTTTTAAATGAAAATTTATTTTTAAAAATTAATTTTTGAATACATATTAATACAAAATTACACAAAATAATTGATAAGTTATATATGGTGTATTAAGGCAGAATTACCGCAATATTGAAGTCAAGGATACATACATGTATACATAAAATATGTATATATTTTCATGGCAATAATGTTATTAAAAAATATTTAACAAAATATTTTGAAATTCATGGACTAAAGTAAATTTAAAAAAAGTTTTTACATGCATATTATATATTGCATGTTCATAATTACATTTTTACTGTACACTAAAATTATTTATTTGGTATTAGCTGTTTTGCATTATATTTTGCGTTCTTCTTTAGTATTTTTTACATAATCAGTAGAATTTTATATTAGGGGCTAATTATGTAATAAAGTATTAGTTTTATAATTGTGTGTATGATAATGTAAAATAGGTTGTCATCATTTTGGTTCATTAATTTTTATGTATAAACAAATATTTTGAAATGTTTACCTATAAAGGTACTAGTTTACCTACATATTATACAAATTTAGTGTTATTAATGTTATTATTAGATGTACAAACAAAGGTATAGATTATTATTAGATGCGCAAACAAGAACACTTTAAATTTGAGTTAAATTCAAAATTACAAGTTCATTCACAAAATACATTCATGTATTGAAACACATTATATAAGACTAACAAATAGGTAAAACAACCAATAATTAGCTTCTCCCATCATATATATATTAATATTGCAAAATCAAAAAAGATTGATATTCATTTTATGTGGAAATTATTTATTTTCATTATTCATCAATCATATTGTATCATAAAATATTAAGTTTCAAATAAGCCGGGATCGAATCATTACTGAATATTATAAAAAATTGTTAACCCTTACAAATTAAACTAAATTTGAATTAAATTTTCGTTACTTTTATACCTTTCACTGTATTACTGCAGATATCAGCTTATACGATTTAAAACTACTGAATTATGAATTAATTTCGGTATTGCCGCAATTTCGGTGATAGGAAACACTGAAAATTGGTTAATGTAATTTTCATTAGTGTATTACATAACACAATCAAATCCTTCAATTCGAAATTACAGTGTCAAAACATTATTACTCATTTCAGCTTATGAATTGTAATTGCAACTTGTATTATTTGCCATTGGAATTCACACAAACCCTTTCTTGTGACTTTAAATTGTAAAGTTTTACTGCAATTTGGAAGTCATAACAAAGGATTTCCGAATCTTCTATAGGCTTATTTTTTGATGACACTTTAACATCTGTTTAATTTTAATACTTTAAAAATAAAAGGCTACTTTTAATTTCAAATTAGAAATAACAGTAAAATTAGTGTGGTTTATTGTATTTGCCCATATTCCCTTACATTCTTGTTTGCTTTTAAATCCTAAGCACACTTGTACAAGTGGGTTGGACTTTTCTTGTACAAGTGGGTTGGAAACCTACTTAGTATGCGGATTATAACAGGTGCACCTGCTTTTCTTTTTGCTCTAAATCTTTTTATATTACAAATTCAAATTATTCAATATTATTGTAAAAATTCAAATAATATATAGAGAGAAATTAATTAATTTTGCTAAATGATTTTATAAGAAACATAATATGTACAAATTTATTAAATAATACATATGTATGTAATTAAAAGATATCATAAACATAAATGAAGTTAAAATTCATAATTTTATAAAATATTCATATTTTAAATACCTCAAATAACATTTTTAGTTTTCTTTATAAAACTCAATACTAAGGGAAAAAACTATCCGTTATATAAATGAAAAATGTCCAAAAGTATCTAAGTAGCCATTATGCACGGGTATCTTTAAAATTTCATCTACGACGCATTAGGCACATTGTATTATCTTCTGAAATACTGACAAAAAGATTTGATATGTTGTATTTAGAGTTTATTTCGTGTTGTGTCCTGATGTTAACACTGAAATATTTGTCAAATAGTGTGTTGAAAATTTTTTTTATATACTACTCGTATTTCTTTTGTTAGCAGAAATTTTTAAATTAAAATAAATTGAAACAAAAAATTTTCTTATTAAAGCAAGCAATGGAAATAAATAATGCTTGATGCATTGTTTTTCAAGTTTTCAAATGTAAAATAATACAATATTCCAAAAAAAAAAATCCATTGAACCTATCAAAAATTAAATTGAATTTTTTTTTTTCGATTTTGAAAAAATCGAACAACTTTTATTTGATGATTTCGAAGAAACCCTAATTGTTAAATTAAAATTAAAAAATATTTTTTTTATTAATTTAAAAATCTACATATGTATGTCCATTATATATACATAAACAGGTATCTACTTAGATAGGTGGGTGGATATACATACCTATGTATGTATATTCCAATGTTAATGTTGACGAGCATTAAGTACCTACATATGTATATGTATATGTATATGTACATTCGTTTTTATTTTTAGCTGCTTATGTACTTAAAAAAATTATGTTCATAAGGATGCAATTGTTTGGATGTTATTTTTCTAACTAATTAATGTCCTCAATTCTGAATCTCGTAAAGCCGAGCCGATATTTCGTTAAGTTTAATATGTAATTAAAACAAAATTAATTATAAATATACTGGCCAAGAAAATTTCCTTATTCAGTTATTTCGGTATGTAGTATACATATGTATACATAAGTCATAATAAATATCTCCGACATTAAATTTTTGTTTAGACATTACATGCACAATTTTAAGGCATAGCATATTATCGATGTTGATATATGTATGTACATACATATTAGATATATTTACATAAATTTATTTTTACTAAACAGGTAAATTGTTGCAAAAGAATACAAACAAAAAAATACCGCCTCCTTGGTATATTGACAGACATTACAAAGCCATTTAACTTTCAATTTAATCTTTCCCATATTTTCTCTATTTGGTAACACTTTTGCAAATATCCGTTGTTTAAAAACAATTAACTGGCTGGTTATATCTATTATACATAGGTACATTGTATTCCAAATCCAAAATATGTTTAAAATATGCAGATATTTCAATTCAAAGGGAGCGTCATACAATATTACAATCAAAAGAAAGCAAAATACAGAATATAGAAAATTTCTTTAACATAACCTTATTTTTCTCTGACTGCGACAGTGCAAGCAAATATATTAAGACATTTTGCAACTGCTGTGCATAATAAGTACAATAAGTATGTAAAAATTTTATAAAGTATAAAGTTTAAAGTATATATTTATGTTATGTATACAATGTATACAATTATATTAATATCTACATTTCTCCAATATAGCATAGCAGACGTACTTACATACATGGACAATAATCCGATTTTATTCTATATAAAAAAAATATCAGAGCATTCATAATCAAAATAATTTTTTAACAATTCTTTAAAATTGTATATTTCTCTCTGATTTTGAAATAATTTTGAAAAATTATGTACTGTATTAATTGTGAATTCGCATACAATCTTTATTAGAAAATCAAACCAAATTTCAAACCACGACTTCCATTTTTGTTACTAGCTCATTTAATTTACACAATCTCGCCAACCTCATTTAGAAAACTTTGGCATCATTTACTTTTCTTTATAAAAATTTTAATTTTATTTACCTAAAAGATCCATTTTGTTTCAAAATCTTATTTCAGTTTTAAGAAAATCTATCAAATATTAAAATTATTCTACACAAATCTATTCACTTTTCTTTAAAACAATAAATAATTACTTTATGCTCTCTAAATAGTGAATGAAAGAAAAAAAAGTATAAATGAACTTCTCTTGACTGCATAAAAAAAGTTACCACTACATTTAAAAAAGCGGGTATAATTTTGACATTTATATATAACTCAAAACAGAACCGCCATCTTATACGCCATTTATATTTCCTTGCGAGAAAAATTCCCTGTTTTCTTTTTCTACATTCTTCAAAGAACATAGCCATACCTTTTGCCGGTTTAAATAAATGTGCATTAATGTTTATATGAAAATCGTATTCATAAAATTATGAATGAAAATAGCTTCCACTAATTTTCATCGCTTTTAATTTTTAAATAAGTGCTTCTTAAACTAAGAATATAAAACAAAAACTAATTAAAAATACATCATGTTTACCGCCTCTCATTTTCGTTTCTTCTTTACCTACTGACATTACAATGCCAGCTGTTTGCAAGCAGAATAATGGGAAATTTTCATCTCATTGTACAAAAAAAAAAACTCCTGAATTAAAATATTTACTTAACTAATTAAAACACTATATAATTAAAGTTTAAAAAAAAAAATTTTGCTTTAACAATAAATTACCTTAACTTTTTCATAATCCGGTGGTCTGGGTACTTCCACTTGCTCATTATAATTCGGTTTACTTGGTTGTATTTGATTATTTGCAGTTGCATTTTCTGCCTGTGTTTGAGATCTGGTTTTCCTCATTTAGATGCTTTTTCTTATGTTAGTATTGTGGGCATATTAATATTTGCATAACTTAAATATTTATTTCAGTTTACTTAAATTACCTTAAATATTTAGTATACAATCTTTCACAAAAGATTTATTCAGAAATTAGTAAGAGCGTCTTGTCCTGCCTTCCAATTTCTTTTTGACAACTAAAATAAAAATCCTTATGCTGTATTTTATGTACATACACACGGCATACATAAACAAGGCACTGTACAAAATGAGTTTTCAAATTGACAACTTTAGTGAGTGAGGTCATAAGACACGTTTGAATTAATTCATTTTGAAGAGCTAAAAATTAAAAGTATTTTTGTTTTAAAAAACAACTAAAAATTAAGTTTTAGAAGTTATCTAATTATATTGTAGTAAAATATATGTATTAAATGTTAAAAGCGTCAAAAATTATTATATCATGACATTTTTTTATAAAAAACAAAAAAAAATGGGTAAAATTTACATAATATGTAAAGTAAAAAACTGTAAGAATAATGAAAAAAGTATGAAAAGCGTTTGAAAACTGGTGCTGTAAATAAACAGTGTTTTATGAAAAATGCTGCAAAAAGTTCTAGATAATCAGAGCATCTGCGTTTTTGATAATTCAGAAAATTTAAATTTACATTTCAGTGAACTTGAAAAATAAAATATTTTATTTTGTGGTTTAATTTTTGAAACTTTAAAAACATATGACAATCTTGGAACTTTCAGAACCTTTTTATGTTAATACCAAATTTGTAGTTTTTGCAGCTACGTATTTCTCTTGTCTAAGATAGAAATGCGAAAGCATATTGCATTATCAAAAACACCCAACTTAAGATCGAGAAATAGTGAAATTAAAACTAAAAATGGCCTGTAAATCTATAGATTATTGCTACCCCCCTATCATTGGCTGTTTAAAAAAAGAGATTTAATCATTTGAAGGTAAGATTTGTATAGGATAATAAGATATGAAAGAAGAGTACGAACGCTAAACAAAGAAGTTAAAGACAAATTTTTTTTCAATGTGCAGAATTACATTCACATAATTTTTCAGTGTCGTGTCCTAAGGCGTCACCGACAACTGTCAATAAATTTGAATTCTGCATTGTTCTTGAATGTCGTGTACACACAAACCATTCATATAAATTTTTATTGAAATTGAAAGTTAAAAAAAAGAAAGCGTCAAAATAATGTCAACTTTTAACCCTATTGACGAGAATAAATAATTTTATGACCCGTGTTCCTATTTTGACACATTTTTCGTTAATTTTTGGTGAATACAAAAAAATAAAAATATTCATTTTGCCAATTACAATTTTAAATATGTATGTGCTAAATCAAACTTCTAGGAAATATAAAATAAAATCATTAAGAAAAAATACATATGTCTCGAACAAATAATTTTCTTTAATTAAAAAATGTGAAATTGTTCGAGACATTTTTTAATTGAAAAAAGAGAAAGAAGAATATTTCGTTCTGATAAATAATATTGTAAAATTTAATAATAATAGTATTTTCTATATCTGATTTAATAACGTATTCGAAATATTAAATCAAAAGGACCAAACATTTTTTTACAGATATAAATTGCTGAAGGTTTCTGTGTAAAATGTTAATTTCGTTCATTGTACAATGTTTTTCCAATGTACATTGCAAAAATTCTTGTCTTTTTTTTTACATAATACTTGCTACTATTACTTTTTGCTCTTAGAAATATACTCATTTGTATGAATTTATCTCGAATAGAATTACGTATAAAAAAACTTAAGTATAAATTAAAAATAATGTCCTACGTATGTTTACATATGCGTCTTTCATCAAACAGATTAAATTAATAAAATTATTTAATCTTTTGTCGTATATCAGATGATTTCCTTTATGCAACTTTTGATTTAATAATCTTTTATGTGATGTATTAAATTTCTCCTGTAAAATATTATTGATTGAATTATTGGAAGAGAACGCTTAACATATTTTTTTCGATTTTCATTTGCCAAATTTCTGTCTTGGACGTTTTTTGTTATAATGCACAGGCCACAAAGCCCAAACCCATAAACTCCTATAATGTACTCCTGTAATTTATATAAAGATGTCTGTGGCAAACACCACTATCATGCATAGTTCTGTTTATTTTTTAATTTGAGTTATGACCACAGCTGACAGAATTAATGTCAAGTGTCAGTGGTTTTTGTGACTTGATATGACAGTCTTGCTCACAATATTTTTATTTACAAATTACAGTTAATGATTATTAAATATTTAAATAAATTTTAAGTTTTTTTAAAGGATAATTATCAGTTGAATAACAACAGTTTAATTTTTAAAAAAGAAGAAGAACTATTAAAGTTCAATTTATTTCAAAAATTCGAAGATTAAAATAACATAATTCAAGTTTATAATGAGTAAAAAATATAAGTACAAACATAAAAACGATTTTTATCAAAGTAAACCATCAACCTCTAAAAATTTAAAAGAAGAAGAAACTAATTTAATGAATTTTTCTTTCGCTAAAAATAAAAAATTATTTAACGGTTTTTTGGAAAGCCCTCAAGCAAGAATACTGGGAGACTATGCAGATTTTTGGCAATTTATTAGTAAATACGAATCCATGTTAAAAGATTCCGGACAACCAATTTTACAAAGACCACAACATTTTACAGATGCTAGTTCCACTGAATTCAATAAAACACAATTGATTTGCTTTGACTTTGATTTCGATGATGCAATATCTAATTTCCGCAAATACAGCTATTCATCAGACAGCAAAAATTTAAGTTCTTATCAAATAGCACAATTTTTTGAAATGATATTATTATATATTGATTTTAAACAAAAAGAAAAGTTTAACAAATTAAAAAAATTGAGAGAAGCTCAAAAAAATTTACCAGTTTACCAGTATAAAAACGAAATTCATGATGCTATCAAAAAAAATCAAGTTATAATGATTGCTGGAGATACGGGATGTGGAAAATCAACACAAATCCCGCAATATGTACGAAATTTCGGTTATAGAAATATAGCTTGTACACAACCTAGACGTTTGGCATGTATATCTTTATGTAAGCGTGTTGCATATGAAATGCTACAATCTTACAGCTCGGTTGTTGGTTATCAAATTCGTTTTGAGAAAACAAAAACAATTAGAACTGAGATATCTTTTATAACCGAGGGACTTTTATTGCGGCAATTTGGATTAGATTCCAATTTGGAAAACTATGATGTTATAATTTTAGATGAAATACATGAACGTAATTTACATGGCGATTTTTTATTAGGAATTACAAAGTGCTTATTAAAAGCAAGACCAAATTTAAAGTTAATTTTAATGTCCGCAACAATTAATGTTCAATTATTCAAAAACTATTTTGAAGAAGAAAATATTTTCTTAATTCAAGTTCCTGGACGTTTATATCCTATACAATTAATATATCAGCCACCAAAAGCTTTAGTAGATAAAGAAAAATTAATATCTAAAACCTACGATAACAAATATAATCCAGATATGAATAAAACAAAAAAGAGAGAAGAAAAGTTTAATGCAGAGCCATATGTCAAAATTCTGAGTAAGTTTTATTCTTTTTTTTTAATATAAACGAAATAAATAATGTGTATAGTATACATTTATTATAAATGAATTTAAAATGCTTTTGTAAATTATGTGTGAAACTGCTAAACGATTTATGCCTTCTTGTGGTAATTTGAAGTTCTGATTTATATTTTTGAATATTTTTTCTGATTTATGTTCTATTCAATGTGTGTAGTGAAAGTATTACAAAGGATTATAAAAATGACTTTTAAACACTTCTTTCCAATTTTAAGGACGTTAGTAAGTTTTGGGTTAGCATGACTAGAAAAATGTAAATTTGTCTCTTCTTTCCGAATTTAAATATTCATTTTCAGGTAAATTCATTGATATACGGGTATGCACACAAAACGATAAATCGACAAACCGACATTTTTCTAAAACTGGTTTAAACCTTCCCTACTTTCGAAAACTCAACATCCGAAATTTGGTGCCATCATATAACCTCCCTTATTGTAAGCAATGCGGTCGGTAATAAAGTCAAAATTGCAGTGTAAAGCAAATATTGAATAATTTACTGCAAATGTGAAACGAAAAATAACTTTGAGTTAATTTAATGAAAATATAATTAAATAATTCACATTAAAAATTATAAATATAATTTGAAACGTCGCGTGCCATTAAATTGCCATCCTGGTCTAATAATTCTAAAGTAATATATGTACATATATAACACCTATGAAAAATTTAATTATCAAAAAGTTCTTGTTTTATTAACAAGAATTTCTTTCTTATAATTAGAACTTTTTCTTTTTGCTTTATGAAAAAAAAAAACTGAAAAACTCTTTTTTGTAAATAAAATACAGAATTTCTATTTTTCCTTTTAATCATATGTTAACTTCTACATAAATATTAGTTAAATTTAATAACTTATATAATACAAAATATTCCATATTGATAAATTTAACCAAATCGGCATGTAACTGTCCAGTTAGAATATGAACAATCCCTTTTTTGTCTAAGTCCTCTTGGTGTGTATACAATTTCATCGTTAGATGCTGCAAACGCTTGACCATCTAAAACACTTGCTAAATGTGAGCTTTCTGGTAATTCTTGTTGTGCTATTATTTCTGCCTGTTGTCCCAAAGGATAAGCAGCAGCTGCAGCAAATGCGATTGCAAAAAATGCCAAGTAGAGGGTAGAATTCATTTTTTATGTTTAATTTTTTTTTAATACTAATAATTTAACAAAATTGTGCAAAGCGAACGAACGTTGTTGTTCAATTGATGCTGTTTGAGAATTTTTGAAAGCTTTTATACTTCTACATTTATTTGGTTTGGGATTCCCAAAATAATTGCAATTCACATGAATTTTGAAAGCTTCTTGATAAAAATTTAAAAAAAATATTAAAGTTAACTGAAAAATTTTATTTGTGTATTTAAAATTTGTTTAAACCATAAATCGTCTCCTATTACTGGAATTCCTTAATCAAAATATTTATTTATATTTTTCTCTCATTTATCTTAGTTTTGCTTAATGATAGTAGGCCTACTTTATAATTCACAGTAAAATAATAATAATTCAAATAAACATAAATAGAATGTTGCTTTTCATGTCTAGATTAGCAAAATTATGATGAATTAAAATGTTGCAATAACAATTGTGTTTTCTCCTATTGCTCTGGTTATCAGATCAACTAATACATTAATTAATAATTGATAACGGCAATGTGAGCTAGAAAATTTAGGGGATGAACTTTTCAATAGCAAAAACAAGAAAATATTTTTTTTTGTTTTTTTTTTTTTCTTCTGAAACGGGGATCCCTTATCGGTTTTTTTCTGCATAATTATTGTGTTGTATTAAACGAATAAGATGTATAAAAGAAGAAGATATTTCCATATTGTCATTATTAGTGATTTCGAACTTATTGAATTCTATTCAAAAAATTGTTATATTTTCAAACTGCTTGCTTAAATTTTTTTTAAAATAAAAATGCGTTTCGTTATTTGTTCAATTTTCTTTGCTATAATTTGTGCCGCTTTCACGGCTGGTTATCCTGAGTCGAATGATGCACTTATTCAGAAAATATTCACTGAACCCCAAGAGTTTGTTGCTGATGGATTATATGGAATTGAAATTAGTGAGCATCATATTAGTACCCCGAATGGAGTTCGACGGAAACGGGATTGTTCTTACAAAGATTGGACCGTTACATGTAGATTTTAAGTTGAATTAATTGTCATAATAAATACTTTCTGAATATATAATAAATTTGTACTTATATTATAAAACATAAGCACATTGTAGACATATAAGAATGTACAATGTACATGTGTATAAATAAAAAAAATGTAAAATTAATTTTTAATTTTTAATATTGTGAATAACAATTACATGAGAATTTTTTCGACAACAAAATGACAAAACATTTAAGTGCCTCAAAGCAATCAGGAAAAATTTTTAATTTCTAATTTAAATTCTGTTGAAAATTATGAATCTCTTTGAGAAAATTATTTCAAATTGAGTAAGAAGAATCTTTTCTCTAAGTCTTGTAGGTCAATTTTTGCTAAAAAATCAAAAGTTATTACAATTCTTATATAAACTCCCTAAACCTTAATTTAGGGAGTTTTCTGCAGTATGAACCTATTTATATACACTTGCTAAATGGAATGGAACGTAAATTCGATGCCATACAATATAAAGGCTAATTTTAAACATGTTAAAAGTTAATTAGAGAAATTTCCTTAAAAAAAACTCACTCTCACAATCTCATTATACCCGTACGAACGTATGTTCGAAGGGTATATTAAATTTGCCTTACTGTTTGTAACGCTAAGAAATAACGATCTTAGATATAGACTCAAGTGTATGTTTTTGATCAGCGTCAAATTCTGAGTTGATTTAGCTTTGTCTGTCTGTCCGTTCGTCCATCCGTCCCAACGATAACTCAAAAACTAATTGAGCTAAGTTCACCAAATTTTCACAAATGATTAATTGTAGTAAGTGTCAGAACCCTATTTAAATTGGACATGATCGGGGTACCGGTTTGGGTAGCTGCCATACAACTTCAAAATTTATTTGGCTATATCTCAGAAACTATAAAAGCTGTGGTATTGAAATTTCCCACAAACGAATATATTAGTAGGGCCATTGTGTCTCATAAAAGTCGTTGAAATTGCTTGGCTCCTTCTGGTACCTGTCGTACAACTTCAACAGTTATTTGGCTATGTGTTAGAAACAATAAAAGCTATTGTATTGAAATTTCACACAAGCGAATATATTAGTAGGGCCGATTTGCTTGATAAAATTCGTAAAATTTCTTGGCTCTTTCTGGTAGCTGCCACACAACTTCAATAGTAGTTTGGCACGCACATAAATTTTGCATAAATTAATATGGTAATACGGCAACTTAAAGTCATAGTCTGTCCCATAGTCAGTTATGGCATATTTATTCGTACATAGGATAACAAATTCGTACGGGTATCACAGAGTTGACAAGGTCAATTCTATTTTTTCTCGTTTTATAATCAGATTGTCCGAGTTAGGATATATTAAAATCGGTTAAGGTTGACTGAAACATTGTCACTTGTTTTCACATTTTGTAATGCTTATATTACAATTAATAACAATTCATAAAACTGTGAGAAAAATTCAATTGTATGACTTGAAAAACTTGGTCTTTTGATTAAATTTGAAAAAAAAAGAATGTAAAAATAGATTTGAAGTTTATTGAACAATATTTTAATTTTCTGTGAATCATTTACAGAGAAATCATTTGTAAAAGATACGAAGTAAAAATTGTTTTTAAGACTTTAGAAGATTTTGTTAATATATTTATTTTTTTTTGTTTTAAAAAAAATTAAATAATACTATTAATTGTTTCGACTACGAAATACAATAAACTGTTGATTACGGTATTGTGAATGTCGGTATCTGTTATGGTTTACGGTATTGACGAGGAAATATGTTTCGCAAAAAAATCGAAAGAAAGATGAATGAAACTACGAGTACAAACAAATATTTTGGCGTCTTAATATCCTTAGATTGATAGGTAAAAATCAGAAGGTGAAAATAGGTCAAACGATCAGTCTTTTTCATCAAAGGTTTTCAAAAGTGAACATTGAAAATTTATTTTTATTTGTTTTTTTTTATTAGTCAAACAATAATCTAACTTAATTTTAAAATGAAATACTTTATAGTTAACCAAATCGGCATGTTACTGTCCAGTTAGAATAAGAACAATCTCTCTTTTGTCTAAGTCCTCTTGGTGTGTATACAATTTCATCGTTAGATGCTCCAAACACTTGACTATCTAAAACACTTGCTAAATGTGAGCTTTCTGGTAATTCTTGTTGTGCTACTATTTCTGCTTCTTGTTCCAAAGGATAAGCACCAGCTGCAGCAAATACGATTGCAAAAAATGCCAAGTAGAGGGTAGAATTCATTTTTTATGTTTAATTTTTTTTTAATACTAATAATTTAACAAAATTTTGTAAAGCGAACGAACGTTGTTGTTCAATTGATGCTGTTTGAGAATTTTTGAAAGCTTTTATACCCCAACATTTATTTAGTTTGGGATCCCCAAAATAATTGCACTTCATATGAATTTTCAAGTTTCTTGATAACAGTTTAAAAAACATTAAAGTTTACTTTAGATTTTTATTTGTAGACTAAAATTATGTATATAATGTACATTTGTAGTTTAGACATTAAAAGAGTTCAATTCGCGGAAATATATCTTTTTTCTTTCTAAACATAATATAGATAATCTTTAGTTTTTTTTAGGAAAAATTTAAATATATGTAGCTTTTAATAAAAATTATATAAAAATTAAGAATTTCTATGAATTAAAAATCAGCGTATTTGCACAATAAAAATAAGTAATTAACTTTGATTTTTTTTTAAATAGATTAAGTATACGCATGTCAAATTAGCTGTAAGACTTTTAACTGCTCCTAAAAATTTCATTTTTAATATATTTTGCGACCGTATTAGTTCGGTAACAAGAAAAACTCTGTATTCTATTGAAAATGTGCATAC